CTGTGCAATATCGACTGCATCTTCTACTGATAAGACCAGTTTTAATTACAGAGTCCAAAGATTCTTTGTAAGTATCAGTTTACATATTTATAATTGATTGCTACCATCTATAAATAAAATATTTTCTTAATGGAAGACCAAAACTAAGGATAGCCCATGTCTCAGAGAGCTGACAATGAATGGTCCCAGTATGACTCTATGATCCAGGAAAGGGAATGGAGAGAATATTTCACTGGGCTGATCAGAAAGTCATTTTGAGCCAAGAACAAAAAGAAAACCTGCTTGCGCTATGGGGGAAAGAAGGTTATTGCTCTCACTTTTCATCTGTGGCAAAAATGCTAGAAGTCAGAAGGCATATGGGTTTTGCACACAACAGTGGTCATGAGACTATATTAAAACCAACTGCTTCTAATTTCAAGTATTTTGACATTTTCTTCATAAATAATGTTTAAACAGTAATAAATTAAATTACCACATTATTTCTGCGGTCTCTGAATTTTTCTTTTCTCTAGAATCATCCACGTAACAATAAATCAGTGTGCGCAGAAATTACAATATACCAAATCTTCACCTTCAAGAACTCCTTCAAGTCTTTTAATAAGGTGTACCGTACTTAAAAGCTATTGTTAGTATCTCAACCCATATTCAATGTTCACACAATAATTTAACAGCTAAAATATTTTGAGATTCTACACAGAGCAGCAAGTTTAAATACCTTAGCAAGTGATCTTACAATAGGGTTTTCCATAATTCCTTTCAGAAAAATCAGGTCTATTTCTTCAGCGCCTGTCGATGTCGGCAGATCAGTCAGGTTATCCAGGACCTGCTGCATGGCTGCTGACAGAACAAAAACAAAAAGTAAGTATTGACCAAAATGGGCTTGCATAGATAGCAAAAGCTCTGGGAAACACCACAGGAAGAACTTTAGAGATGTTAAGCAGCCAACTACATCTGCTGAGAGCAAGTCGACAGAATGGAAAAATAACTTTTTGTTTGTTTGTTTGAAAGATGGAAATAAAGGATCTATCCAAATCCTTAACACCATAATCAACATTTAAATCCAGGCCCACCACATTCCTTTCAAGATTCGCTGCTACTTAAAGACTGAAAATAACAAACAAGTATCAACTATGTATAAGGTACGTATAATCTTCCAAGTTCAATAAAAGCAACTCATTCCTGACATTTTTCATTTAATCTCTCTTTCAAAGGAAGTTTTCAGCCCTCATACATACACCAACCAACTACAAGTTTTATAATGCTCATATAAGACAGATGTCACTGTTTTAAAAATTAACACATAGTTCAAAACTTTAAAAAAAAAAAAAAACACCAAAAAATTTTGTTCCAAGGCACCTCTTGTCTTGGGACATTTGTGCTTAACCCCAGCAGTCCTCCACAATCAGTTCTGCCAGTGGAGATTCTCCACTGTAGATTCTCTGTAGTCTCTGCCTACAGACTCACAGAGAGAACTGCAGCAACTTGGGTGACAGTGACCAGCAGTGTCTAAGAAAAAGTCAGAAAATCCCACCCTTCCAGCTGTCTTGCCCTGTGAAGTCATTGAGGCGAGTAATGAGAATTTATAACTGTGTGCTTCAACCCCCCATTTAAGATACAGTTGAACAAAACAGACCTTTTATGTTAGACAGCAGGTTTAGTACTTTCACATACTACAGCGTTCTTGCACATTTGGGTGTGTGTGCAGCAGCCCTCAGCTGGGATTACAACAGCCAGCCCAGACCTTGCAGAGATAAGCATGTGCCAGTTTAGGCTCAGCACAAAAGGGGGTAGCGCTGGAGACAGCTATGATGTTTTTCCAAGGTAAATGGTCATTCTTTCCCTGTTTTCCAACACATGACTAAATACTCTTACCTTGTAGTATTATCTTAGTAGTGAACAACGTATACTGTTCTCGTTTTTAACTATATTCTTTTAAATTCTTGCCAAGTTATATGTGCATGCTCAAACAGACACATACACAGGTATACTAAAAAAAAAAAATCTTCTGTTGAGATCCCCAAGAAGCTAAAAAGCATTAGAATAACCACAGTGTACAGCAATGCTCCGCATGTTGCACAGCAGCATATATCAGGAGAATCAGAAAGCCTATACGCCCCTTCTCCCACACAGGAATTTACCCTTAACTTTCCTCATTGCTTTATAATGAAAGCTATTATGAAACACTGCACAGTAACAGAACAAACAGCATTTCTCAACACCTACTTTCTAATTTGAATCCTTCCTAGAAAATTCCATCCCAACAAGAGATTTTCTGGCCATTCTTTCTGTCAAGCAGAACGGACTTCTCCACACTCAAATCATCTTGTGTGCCACATTTTAACTACAGCAGTGTATGTCAAAAGACTGTATTCTTTAAAAATATGTTTTAACCATACTTCTTGCTTTCAAAAAGTGAAATCTTATGTGAAACCATGAGTAGGAGGGAAACTGACACTTACTTTATGCTTTCAGATTTTGAAGCAATATTATTTCTGCTTTATAACAGACAAAGTGCTGTTAGCAATCACACTTTACATAAAGTCACCAAATCAACCCGTAAATAGTCCCCATCTTCCTCAGGCTAGGTATGTCCTATATCTGGACTAGTTCAGCTGCAGATGCAACTGTTTTGTTTCACATTTTCTCAATTTCCAGTTTTAGACTCATGACTCAATGCAGTCACACAAGCTATAGTATTTGCAGTAGACTGATGTTCTAGCCAATTTATGTAGTGTACTAGGTGCTGCATAAATACAGCAAGTGTTGCAATAAGCAGCTTTCGTTACATTTTTAACAGGTATGCAAATTGTTTTTAAGGGACATCAGGTTAGCATTTTTGTTCCTATAAATAAGCTGAGTAATAATATAAAGTTTCCTTCAGGTCAAAGCATGCATTTCAATTACCAGTTGCAATTCCAGCACTTGAAGCGGACAGAGGCGTGCATAGTAAAGACACTGCTTATTTATCTCCATGTTAATAAGCAGTTTCTTACGTAGCTCTTTCAGAATTCTGCCTGTCACAGAATGTTAGGAGTTGGAAGGGACCTCGAAAGATCATCCAGGGGCCAGAGCAGGATCACCTAGAGTAGGTCACACAGGAATGCATCCAGGTTGGTTTTGAATGTCTCCAGGGAAGGAGAATCCACAACCTCTCTGGGCAGCCTGTTCCAGTGCTCTGTCACCCTCACAGTAAATAAGTTTTTCCTCATGTTCAGGTTGAACCTCCTATGCTCCAGCTTGCACCCATTGCCCCTTGTCCTGTCATTGGACATCACAGAGAAAGGCCTGGCTCCTTCCTCCTGACACTCATCCTTTACAAATTTATAAACATTAATGAGGTCACCCCTCAGTCTCCTCTTCTCCAAGCTAAAGAGACCCAGCTCCCTCAGCCGCTCCTCAGAAGGGAGATGCTCCACTCCCTCCATCATCCTTGTGGCCCTGTGCTGGACTCTTTCAAGCAATTCCCTGTCCTTCTTGACCTGAGGGACCCAGAACTGGACACAATATTCCAGATGCGGTCTCACCAGGGCAGAGTAGAGGGGAAGGAGAACCTCTCTCGACCTACTAACACCTCCTCTTCTGATACACCCCAGGATGCCATTGGCCTTTCTGGCGACAAGGGGACATTGCTCGACATCCTGCTGTCCACCAGGTCCCCCAGGTCCCTTTCTGCTGTGCTACTCCCCAGCAGGTCAGTCCCCAGCCTATACTGGTACATGGGGTTGTTCTTCCCCAGATGCGAGACCCTACACTTGGCCCTGCTGAATTTCATTAAATTCTTTCCCAACTGTCCAGCCTGTCCAGTTCTCGCTGAATGGCAGCACAGCCTTCTGGAGTGCCAGCCACTCCTCCCAGTTTTGTGTTGTCAGCAAACTTGCTGACAGTGCACTCTGTTCCCTCATCCAGGTCGTTGATGAATATATTGAAGAGTACTGGTCCCAGTACCGACCCCTGGGGGACCCCACTAGAGTCAGGCCTCTAACTAGACTCTGTCCCATTGATCACAACTCTCTGACTTCTTTCCTTCAACCAGTTCATGATCCATCTCACTACCTGATCATCTAGACCACAATTTCTCCGTTTAGCTGCGAGGATGCTATGGGAGGCAGTGTCAAATGCTTTACTGAAATCAAGATAGACCACATCCACTGCCCTACCATCATCTATCCACCTGGCCATGTCCTCATAAAAGGCTACCAGGTTGGTCAAACATGACTTCCCCTTAGTGAAAGGATGCTGACTGTTCCTAATGACCCTCTTATCCTTGATATGTCTGGAGACAGCACTGAGGATAAGCTGTTCCGTCACCTTTCCAGGGATGGAGGTGGGGTTGACCGGTCTGTAGTTACCCAAGTACTCCTTTTTGAAGACTGGAGTGACATTTGCGTTCCTGCAGTCCTCAGGCACCTCTCCTGTTGCCCACGACTTACCAAAGATGATGAAGAGTGGCATAGCAATGACTCCCGCCAGCTCCCTCAGCACCCATGGGTGCATCCCATCAGGGCCCATGGATTTATCTATGTTCAGATTGCTTAACCATTCCCTAACCCAGAATGATCAAATTAAAAAAATAAAATCCCTACATAAAAATTTTATCATCAAGAAGAAACTGTTAAGAGCAACATCAAGTTTCACAAGAACGACTTTCAAGATTTGTGAAGTTAGGGTATTTTCAAAGGAGTATTTTATTTAATAAAGGTTTCATAAATTCCAGCATCAAAACTGCTTAAATATATTTTAGCATTCTTAGAAAGCAGCAAGCACCTTTATCAACATGCAGAGTTCAAAAAAGTCAAAGGCAGACTTGCATCAAAACCACAACCACCTGTTTTCAGAAACAGCTTCCTATTGCTGTGCATTAGGGATGGCTGGCCTCTCTTATGACAAAGCCATCATGGCAAGAGTCTTCTTAGCTATAAATAGTGTTGCCTCATATTGTGTGTTGTCTCATATTGTAAAGAAAAACAAAAATGCAGGCATACATAATTTGGGATAAGTTACCTTTACTCGCCCTGAATCTCTTATGTTGGAACACAATGTGGGTCTCAACATTGTCTCAGTGTAGCTTGTCCCTCATCTTAAAGGGAAGATCTTTCTTAATAGTTGAATAAAAAAAGCACTGTTAAGTACCCCTTCATTTTAACCGGCTACAAGGTTAAATAAAAAATTTCTAGCACAAGAGAAAGCTTAACGAAGCTTCAACAAAGTCTCTGCACGTGTTACCTAGTACATGGTAACTAGAAACTAGACCAATGTTTATGTGCTTCACAAGGTTTCACTGCTTTACATTCACCTGGCAAAACAAAAATTCAGAACATGACCAAAAGTTATTTTTTCAAAATGTCATCAAAAGCATCTTCCAACAGAAATTATGCCACCTGGTTTATTTAAAAAGAACAGACAAAATACATGGGTACTTCTGGAGACAGACTAGACTAAGCACTTTATTTCAGGGGTTTACATTTATTATGCAAGTCATGGGCCAGCATCAAATGTAGTTACCATCCAATATGAAATGCTAATACTTCCTCGCATGTGAAAAGAGCTTTGAAAGCCTAAGCAACATATTGCTTATGTTAACCTACGTGCACCTCAGATATTAATTTCTGTACTTTCAAACAATTTGATTTATCCAAAGACAACCTAAGGGGGATGGGGGAAGACACTCTGGTAGATGTATTTTATTTTTATGTATCTTTTCAACAGGCTTTTGCTTATTCATTTCTAGGGAAAATACAAACAGCAGGAGATGTGTTGTTTCCAGGTTTAATTATAATGATCTTTCAGAATAATGTAGATACACATGGAATTTCAAGTAGCAGTCTTTAAAACAATTT